ACAAATTGTACAAATAATACGTAATATTAATAATAATACACTATATTATATGAAATAATACGTAATAGTAATACTAATACAACGTATTATTTAAAATGATACATAATAGTATCGATAACACAACAGATTAATTCCAGAAATTTTTACTGCACTAAGTTAATTTATAAATATTAAAATTATTTAAATAAATATAAAATTTGGACTTTTAAATCATAAAAATTCTAGAAAATCAATAAAAAAATACAAATACTCTTTTAAAAATAAAAATAATAATTAAATATTTTAAAATACCAGAAAAATTATTTGACTAGTATCAAAATTTACGGTCATTGCGATTGTACCAACATGAAAATGAATAGATGAACAATAAACATTTACCTCATTCCATGTATCAAAACTATCAGGATCCATGACGATAGTTTGTGTTTGTTCATCCCAACCTGCACCACTAATATTATGAGCAACCTTCATATCTTGAAACTAGGAACAAATAGTTTTCGTATGGTTAACAACATTTTTAGTAACAAAGGTTATTCCAAATTGCTTGTTCACTTTAACGACTGTCATTGCAAATGCATGCTGCTTAAAGTTTTTGCCTGGTTTAAAACCAGACTTTGCCAAATTTGTAAGAAAGGGTATGAGCACGTCATCATGAGCAAAGGTCCACCATCTAGTTGGTGCCACATTTGTCGTGTCAGGCTCAATGAGAATTTTTCTTTCTTTATGGGCAAGAGCTTTATATTTTCTTTGAGGGGTTGCTGAAGTTGCTACTACTTCATCATTAACCACTCTTTTTTATTATTACCTGAATCAGAAGTAGTATTTGTAACACTAGTTGGAGATATAACTTGTCTGGAGGAATTTGGGCCTTGAAAATGTTGAGGAAAAGATGGTGGACTACTGAGCAAGTGCATGTAAGATGAAATGAGATGATGCATAGAGAACTAGTTACCATCATAATGCGGCACATTTGAGAAAACGGATGGTGGTTTCACAAATGGTGAGGATGACTGGAATGACATGAAACTACGGTTGAACCCATTGCTTGCCGGGAATGTTAGAGAATGTGGTGGGGCTAACAAAGTTAGGGAATGAGTAGTAGTCTTCCCTTTGTTCAAATCTAACCCATCAGTGGTTGATTTATCACACATTCTTATACTTTCAACAAATATAATTCTCAACAAAACAGTGTGAGTCAAAAATACGACAAAGTGGAAATTGTAAATGATTGCAATAGATGAGATTAAAACATCAACTAACAAATTTCACACAAACTTAAAACGAAGTAGATGTGATATCACGACAATAACTTACTATCACCATAATTAATCTAAGTCACACAACAACATCAAGTCTTGAGGTACACGAACAACAACATAAAGTACTACTGAATGTAAACAAACAACGTAGATAAAATACCATAGCAAATCATAAGGCAGTCTCAATGGTGACAACATATCGGTATTTATTACAATAATCAATCCATTCCAAAGCGATTTGATCTCTGCGAGACTTCCACTCATCCTTTGAGGCATTTTGTTCTCTTTATGTTTGGGACTACGTGAAATCAATAACGTCGTTACCTTCATCGATTCTCTCTTCATCATCATCCTTTTCAATGTTGATGGTCTCATTGAGCAAATCATCGTTTGGATCGACTATTGCAATGTAGTTGTGGACAACCGTGAATGCCAAAACAATGTCAACTTGTGCGGGGAAGGGGTAGTGGGGTTTTGTAGTGAGAATCTTGAAACGATTCTTCAAAATACCAAAGGTAGCTTCAATCTTTGACCTCAGAGATGAATGTCTAAGATTGAATAACTCCCTCCTATTTTGAGGTGTTCTCCCCGTAAATTCCTTTAGATGGTAACGAACGCCACGATAAGGGGATATAAAACCTGACATAGTTGTGTACCCCGCATCACACAAGTAATATTTACCTACATATTATACACATAATTTTTATGAGATATGACCGTGTAATTATTAGTGAGGAATATTAAGCAATTGGGTAATTAGTTTGAGGAGTTAACGAGAATTTTACCAGTGTAGACTCGTAAGCCATATGGTTGTGGTCTAGACATGGCATCTTGAAGGATTCTATAGTCATTTGCTGACCCCTCCCACACAGCTAAAACATAGGTGAACAGTTTGTTTGGTGTACAAGTGGCAATAATATTTTGTGTGACACATTTGCGCCATCTTAACCCCGCAACAAGACTAGCGGGTAGCATAACATCCACATGTGTCCCATCTATCATACCTATGCAATCCTATAGAGTACACCAACTTACTATGTTAATGTAAGATATGATTTGATTAGACAATTATTTGCGTAATTTCATAGTGTGGATGATATACCTTGAAAAATGGATAAAATGATGGATTGTTAAGGATCTCTTGGGGCACTTCATTCAGTACTTGTTTCACATATCAGCCTTGTATGCAAGAAATAGCTTGTAATACTCTGTTGAAGTATCTACTAACTGTCTCCCCTGATCTTATAAATTATATTCTCAAAATACGATTTTTGGATTTATGGTCCAATATATTCAATGTTATTGCAAGCTCTCCTCTACTGTTATATGCCTTGAGTCCTTTAAGAGATTTCCCCCTCATAATATTTGCTAGTTTCATAAATGCATTTGATCGCATTCTAACAAAGTTTTCACAGCTATCACTATTATCGTGATATATACGATTCATCAATTCTGCCCTAATTTTTTGCTATTTTAGTTTTTCTTCACTTGGTTCAGACCGTATTGATCTACGGTGGTACTTCATTCTCCTAAAAAATATCAAAACTATAACCATGACTAAAAATACAGCCGCAACACACATTCTTATAACAACCTCTTCATCATCAAAATCACCATCCACCTACAATTTTTACTTATATGTTAAAAATAAAAAAATATGATGCCTTTTTATGGCATGCTCGGCTCATTAAAGAATAAAGAGAACCATACTTGCACGAAAAAATACTATCACAATAGAAGTACATGACATCAACTCACTATTAAACCCATACATGAAATATGCCATGTAGGGTTGTCGACTCAATACCCGTAAAGCTTACAAAATAAGCATCATAGTTTTTAGAAATGTCATTGTACCTATCTACAAAATAAGCATCTAATCTGACATACATTTTAAATTTTTTATATTTCAAAAAATCATAAAAAAGATACGCACGTGAAAATTTTTCATATGAAGCTGATAGTCATCATTACACGGAACAAATATAGATATATTCATATGAATATATATATTTGCATGAAAAAATTATAAAAAGCAGGGAAATGCTTATAAAACCCCAATTGCAAATAAACACAAAAAAACATATATGCATCAGAACTTATACAGATCTATGTAAATCAGGAGTACTAATGACTAATAGTGAAATAGGATGCTAAGAGGCATTTAGGCAAAATTCCCAGCTCTTTAAAATGTCGAGGAAAACATCAATTACTAACACATGTGACAACTACAAGTGAATCAGCCAATGAAGTGTACTGCAACCTCTTATAGCGTGCTGCAACGGGCCTATGAAACTCAATATAATGAAATATGGGGTTAAGATGCAAGAGAAAAACCCAGTGAATTATTTTTTCTATCTTTCAAAAAATCAGTAAAAAGATACATATGTGAATCATAGGGTTTTATCAAGGGGATGTGAATTACAACTAAAATTACATAGGAGATACTAAAAAAGTGTTAGGGGAGTAGTAATGCATCGTGAAAGATTTTAAATTTAATATTTAATTTAAACGGAAATTACATATAATAATAAGTTTGAAGAAATGGGAAAAAGACCCACACAAGTTGGGTTTTAGTAAATAAAGAAAAAATGTGATCAAATGTTCGGAAAAAATAAAAAAGTAAAAAAATTCAAAGGATTTGGAAAGTGAAGAAATTGGAGAAAAAAAGTTAAAATTAATTTCTCTTTCATTCATCTTCACTTTCTAACAGGAGGATGACACCAAAACTAGAACTATAGGCATGCAGCAGTAACTATGAATGCATCAACCCCAAAATCTCATATAATAAAATGTTGGTCAAGAATTACTAAAAATTTGATGCATGTTAAAAATTTAACAATAAAATGCTCTCAAAGCAAGGGAAAGGTTAAATGAATAGAGATCGAACCTCTTGCGGTTGAAGGTGAGGGAATCCCCGTTAACAGTAGAGATTTAGATCTGCAATATCAGATCTGACGAAGCGGCAACAACAACAAGAAGAAATCACTATAAAGACGCTGCCTATTTGCAAGATCTGTCAGAGTTCACTAAAAAACTGCCCGAATCGTCGTCGCCCAAGCCATTCATTTGATTTCCCATCATCTAGAGTAATAAATTGATGAAGAAAAATTGGCGAATGGAATTTTTTATCGCATAGCAATGGAGCGAGCAACAGGCAGAAGGGCGAAAATGACGAGGAATGCAGTGATGAAAACCCTAAGCGTTTCCCCCATTTTCATTCCCGCCGCCTCGAAAACTTGGCAGAGCAATTAATTTATTCAGTGACGGGACATTTCCAGCCCATTTTAGCCCCCCACACTCTGAAATAGGTTTCCTTAAAAATCTGACGTGACACCCCATTTCATCCCCCCATTTGTTTAAATCACCCAACAAACCAAACACCCGAATTGAAAATGGGTCGAAACCAAAATCCTACGTGACACTGTTGTCAGTTTTCAAATCCTCCATTTCTCTCTTTTTTTTAGCAAACGAACGGCCCCTAAAATGAGAATATATGACAATGTTTGTAGGAATTGGTCAAGCAAGGGAAATGTAAAAATCTAGTAAATCCATTTATATCAAACAATAAAAGAAAATAAAAACTAGTAAAAAAGTAAAAATCAAAATAAAAATCAGAGGATAAGAATTCTACAGCCACAACTTAATCTTAGTTTATATAATTCACATGAATGCGTGCATGAAATGAAATTATGTAAAAAATACAGCAGAGATTTTTGGACAGCGGTGAGAGAAATTCAGAGAGAGAAACAAAACACAAACTCGCACCCACCTCTCTCTCTCTCTCTCTCTCACCTCTCTCCACATTTTTGCCTCCATCTCCTCCATCTTCTCTCCCCTTCTCGATTCCCAAAAAAAATCATCCCACCAAAAGATAGAAGGGGAAAAAAAAAGAGCGAGATAACCAAACCCTAACCCTACCACCGAATCTCGAGCTCCCCCCTCGTAATGCAAGCAGTCGCCGCCTCCCCCTCGCAAGAATCGATCGCGATCGGAACTCGGAGATGATCGCCCGATCGTAAGCAGCTCGATCCTTCTTTTTTCAGTCTCCGATCGTCCTCGATCGTTTAGATTTGTTCATTTTCTTGCTATTTGTGCGAGTTTTTCGACGATCGGTTTCGACTGGTGATTAGACTGTGTTTTGATCGGAGTAAGGGCGATCGGGTTGTTTGATGTTGCTTCCCGATGATGGATTAGTGCAAAGATTGTACCTTTTTGTTGATTATCTGTGGTTTTAATTGGAGAATATTGTTTGGATTAGGATTTTTGTTGAATTTTTAGTGCCGATTGCTTTATTACAGAACAAAAAGGGATTTTTACCCGTAATCAGTTCATCAGATGATAGAGATACTTGTTCTTTTTTGCTACATTCGATTCCTTTGTAAAGCCTGTCAAAAAAGCAGACCTTTTTTGATGGTTAATATTCCGAAGATCCCCGGTCTCCTTGATTTCTTTATCCCCAATTTGTTCACTGACTAGATTCTTGCTACGGCTTGTCCACTATAACATTTATAGATATCATTATTTTGCATCTATTTTTTTTATGATTGTTTTGATAAATCAAGTTGCTAGTCCTTGGTTGCAAGCAATTTTGTTTCTTTTTCTTGAATTTTGATGCATGCTGATTTGTTTATCGTCTTTCCAAATTGAGGAGGTTGGAAGGAATTGCAGGTAATTTAAATCAAGAGTGACTTGCATGGGGATAGGATGCCAGAGTTGCGAAGTGGAGCTCGGCAAGCTCGTTTGAGATCCAAGAAACTTGAGGAGACACCAACCCAACAACAACAACCACCACCATTAGAACAAGCTGAGAACTGTGTTCCTCCAGCTGCTAACAATAGAACGGGAAGGCGAGGACGAGGAAGGGGATCAAAGGCTGCAGCAGTAGCAAAAGGACCTGCTGCTAATCAAACTAGGCCTGGTAGGGGAAGAGGAAGAGGGGCTATTAAACTAATTGATTTAGACCTTGATCAGCCTTGTGAAGTTTTGCCTGGAGCCGCTGCTGCTGCTGGGGGAGCTGTTGCTGGTGGTGCACAGGACTTGTTGAACCAAGCGGGAGAGGGTGCTGCTGGGAAGGAAGTGGCCATGGATGGTGGTAGTGCAGATAAGTTGTTGGGTGAAGATGATGCCAATGCAGCTCCTGTTCCAGAGAGAGTATGGCATTGTGACATGCTTGTTTTCTTCCTTATTCGGCTTGATTTTTGTGCTCATCTGCTTTGTTCATGTTCCGTGTCTCTGTTACTTCAGCGTAGATGCATTTGGTGCCTCTTAATTATGTTTTTGGAACATAGTTGTTAGTTTCCAGTGAATATAAATAGGATATTTTACCCTAGTGAAGTATGTTACTATTTTCTTGTACGTAGCAATGTGGTAGCACGCCACAACTATAAATGCAACGATGGATATGCATGCATAAAAGCTAAGTAACCTGGCACATGGTCATGGGCATTTGGCTAGGGTAAACCTCATAATGTTATTATTGCTCTTTTTACCAGTTTTTCTTCCTATGACGCCTTCTATTTAAACTTCGAGCATTCTGTAAATGATTGATTCCTTATTCCAATTCTTACCTGATAATATTCATGTTATCAAATGTTTTCTCTCCTTTTCAGGTCCAAGTTGGTAACTCCCCTGTATATAAAGTAGAGAAGAAGTTGGGCAAAGGTGGTTTTGGTCAGGTATATGTTGGAAGAAGGGTAAATGGTGGGACAGAACGCACAGGTCAAGATGCGTATGAGGTTGAACATCAAAATCTCACAACTCATCTCTCAAGCCTTGAGGAGAAAAAAAAAGCTTCTGTTGATATGTATATACTATCTTCATTGTTTTAGGTGGCACTGAAATTCGAGCATCGCAGCAGCAAAGGATGCAACTACGGTCCACCATATGAGTGGCAAGTTTATAAGTAAGAAGACATCCTATATCTTTTTTTTCCGTAGATTAAGCTATGCTATATCTGAGATAATGATTCTGTGTCCTCCAGCACTCTCAACGGTTGCTATGGAATACCATGGGTTCATTTCAAGGGACGTCAAGGAGATTACTACATTCTGGTGAGTTCTAGGATCTTCAGGAAACTTCAGGAGGCCTGAAAATTTGGATTCTTTACTAAACGAAACTCAAAATTTCAGGTAATGGATATGCTTGGACCTAGTCTTTGGGATGTTTGGAACTCTGTAGGGCAGGCGTAAGTAGCAGTTGTCTTTGTTTCCTTTTCTGTTGTCAGAGAATGTGTTCCTTGTGATAATTAATGTTTTACCATGTGAAACAGGATGTCACCGAACATGGTGGCTTGCATCGCTGTGGAAGCTATATCGATCCTTGAGAAGCTTCATTTGAAGGGGTATCCTTACTGTTGCTTTCCTGATTCTCTTATACGTATTTAATATAACTCCAGACAGTCCACAAATAAACTTTCTATTAAAGATTCATCTTCTTTTTCTGGTCAGGTTTGTACATGGAGATGTCAAGCCAGAGAACTTTTTACTAGGCCTCCCTGGGACTGCTGATGAGAAAAAACTTTTCCTTATTGATCTTGGTTTGGGTATGTACTTTGTAGTCACTATTTTCGGATATTATCTTCGCATGCTGCAGAGGCTGCAACCATTTTTTCTGCTTAATGATATGTTCTCTTAGATAAGTCCTTTCACTTTCTGTTCCTAAAAAAATTGGACTTTATTCGGAATTAATTGTATCAATGCCTATATGGTGCAGCATCTAGATGGAAGGAATCATCATCAGGTCAACATGTTGATTATGATCAAAGGCCGGATATTTTCAGGTTTGAATTTTTTATGCCATTTCTTCTGTGTATGTTGTACACAAGTTCTGATATCTTTCTTTGCAGGGGTACAATAAGATATGCAAGCGTACATGCCCATTTAGGCCGCACAGGGAGTAGGAGGGATGATCTCGAGTCACTGGCCTACACACTTATTTTCCTCATCAGAGGAAGGTTACCCTGGCAAGGTTATCAGGTAGTATTGTTGTTCGTGTTAGGAGACTTGTAACTTATTTTCTTTTGCGTTTGCATATCCGATCACTCTCACCTTCATTTTTGTTGTCTAATAATGCAGGGAGACAACAAGAGTTTTCTTGTTTGTAAGAAGAAGATGGCTACTTCTCCAGAGTTACTGTGTTGCTTTTGCCCGTCTCCATTTAAAAATTTCCTTGAAATTGTCACAAACATGAAGTTTGATGAAGAGCCAAATTACTCCAAGCTCATTTCTCTCTTTGATAGTTTGATTGAACCATGCACTCCGTTGAGACCTATAAGAATTGATGGAGCTTTGAAGGTTTGTTTCTGAGGGGTTTAACCTGTAGTGTTCCTTGATAATTTAGGCATTTTTATCCTGGTTCTGTTTTATCCGCCAGTTTTCATTTAAGAACAACATAACAACAGTACCTTGCTCTATCTATGGCTATTAACATTCGCTAGTATGTATCTAGGTTGGACAGAAGCGTGGAAGATTGCTTGTGAATCTTGAAGAAGATGAGCAACCTAGAAAGAAAGTTCGATTGGGAAGCCCTGCAACCCAGTGGATTTCAGTTTACAATGCAAGGCGTCCAATGAAGCAGAGGTAACAACTGATGGACGTTGCCTGTGGTTTTCATGCCATACAAAAACTTTTGTTCTCTATGGCGTAATGGATATCTGTCTTCCTTCAGCAATCATTTAGAAACACATTGAGATTATGCCTCTTTATTTGGCCTATATGGAGAGCTTCCTTAGTGTGGCATCAATAGGCATACTGACATATTACTAATGTTCAGTTATAACCTTTAAGGTACCAAATATCTTCTTGGCTAAAGGCGAGAAAAAAAAAGTTGGTCATTACCCATACTAAACTTTACCGGATTTCTTGAAGCCCTTTTTTTATGTATCCAAGGAATATGGGGTTAAAGGAGAATAACATATTCCAAAATAATTTGGGTGGTTTGAAGGTATAATAGTCCTCGTGCACTAAAATCATTTACCAAAATTGGCATTAACTATATTGGGTTAGCTTGGTTAGATGTGTGAATTACTTAATTTAATATATTTTAAATCCCATCCATATGCATCACAAACAAATTGTGGTCTCTGCATCATGTGAACTTCAGTTGTGGTGCCTTTTTCATGTTATTTACCTGTTATCTTTCGAGTTTAATAGTCATATTCTGATCGACCATAAACATTAAATATCATCATGTAATGCTTTTAATGCTTAGAATATTTAAAATTTTTACCACTTGCTTAACTTACGTATTATGTTTTGATTGATTAAAATCAGGTGTAATGTACGATATTCTTTAAATTAAAATATTTGAGCATTCTCTTACCGGTCCTAGATATCTTAAATATCTAATTAGTTGAGTTGATAGCTTGGTCAAATAATCAGACAGACCAGATAAATGACTTTGCAAAGTTTAAAGACAACCAGTAATATTTAAGCATGCTTGCTGTTTAAACGTCTTGAAAATGGCAGAACCGGAGCATTCTGATAGAAATGAATATTTGTTAGTAACAGAAATTACCTGGTCTTGTTGTAAATGGTTGCTTGCTTTCCTTGCATGGCCAAACTATGGTGTTCTTTCTTTTCTTTTCTTTTTTTTGATGTTTGACCGCTAAATAGATTTTTCTCTAAAATTTTTAAACTTAATAAAACCCAAATCTATTCTTGGACATATTTTACTACATCAGAGAAAATCCAAATATATGGTTGACACATTTTGTTATATCTTGATTTATTAAACCCAAATTTATTCTTGGGCACGCCTTTGGTTAACCTAACTTTTGTGATTAATAGAGAAAATCTTCTTGCAAGCACCAACACCTTGAGGTATTAGTTTCTCGTTTATGCTTTGTCTTAACTAAACAATTTCTGTAATTTTAATAGATACCATTATAATGTGGCGGACTCAAGGCTTCATCAACATGTAGAGAAGGGTAACGAAGATGGCTTGTACATCAGTTGTGTGGCTTCTTCAGCAAACCTTTGGGCTCTTATTATGGATGCAGGAACAGGCTTTTCTGCCCAGGTTTATGAACTCTCACCTGTCTTTCTGCACAAGGTATGCATCCTAACCATGTCTAGATGTTTCCTTTAGTTTTTTAAGTTTTTCTTGGCTGCTGGTGAATATTTTTATTTTATATTATTTTCATTTGGATTGTCATAGGACTGGATTATGGAGCAGTGGGAGAAGAACTATTATATTAGTGCTATAGCAGGAGCAACCAATGGAAGTTCATTGGTTGTGATGTCCAAAGGTCTGTACAGAATGTTGATACTGACTTTTCACCCCTTACTTTCTATTATGTATTTGATCTCCAGTGATATGTGATGATTCAAATTACATATATGCTGTTGTTGATATTTTATTCTCTTGAATTTTTGAATTTTTTAGTGCAAATCTTGCCAATCACAATGAGTTGTTGAGATGATTAAAAAGATTAGACCACTGAAAGATGATGACAAGCTGAAAATGTTTTATTTGATAAAAACACTTTTGTAAAAGGATTTGGCTATAAAATGTAGAAAGTAAGCGAGCTCATCTTTTTTGAATAAGTTATTGTTTGCCCTTTTCTGAATACTGTTGGCTATTTATTCCTTTTAGACACATTCTTCCATATCTTTTCCAGAAGAAAATGTTCACCAAATAATGAAATTTGCATTCTACACATTTTTCCTGTTTATTTCAATATGAAGAAGTATTCTATAGACATTGAAGGATCAATTGATGGAGTTGGACAACCACACTAATTGAAACAAAACATTAATATGTTTCCAGCTATATTACTGGATAATATCATAAATAAATGTAGGGGATTGTGGTGTCGTCCTATGAAGTTTCACCCCTTGACATGTTCAAAATAACTTTCTTCTGACTGGTTGAGTTTATTGCTTAGTATGGTTAGTGCTTGTAATATTAGGAGAAAGAAGATAGAAATGTCAAATATCCTTTTTTAATTTTTGTTAAAATTTTTCATGAAGCTTTGAGATGAATAGGGCTCTAGTTTAAAGATAATATAACATCAAAGATCAAATTTTGATCATATCTTTCGCGGAGACAAAAGTCCCTTTTGGATAGAAAATGTAAGACACCTAATTTATTTTTGATATAAATTCATATGAAATTCACAGTTTGTGATATTTTTCTAATCAGGGGTTCATTCTCATATCCAATATCCTCTAAACTCGTAGTGCCACTTGATATACCTATTCTACAGTTTGCAATTTTTCTAATTGGCGTCTATATCTCCAATCCTGTAAATTAATAGTGCCATTTGCATTTACCAATTCTACTTTCTTGATATCCTTAAAGCAACTGTGGTTAGCATGCTGTCAACTCTGTTTTGCATTAGAATTTTTTGACATATTGTGTTGGTTGCTGAAGATGTCTAATTCCGCTTGATTGGTCATTTGTTTCACGATGAAAGTTGTCAAATGGCAATAGGATCTCCAATTTTCCAGTTCTTCTGACAAAGACATCAAGGAGTTTCAAATCCTGTCATGTATATAACAAATGACATTTACATTTCAATGTTTCAATGAAGCACAACCTATTTCATTGAGGGAAACAATTGGCTATGCTATATTGCTCGTTAGTTTTATGTTAAACATAGGGTGGAAGGCGAGCTATGGTAATTTGAGATATTGTGTGTCCCCATATAATTAAATGTGTTGAATTGGACATTTGTCCTAATTTTCCTAACTGTTCATTTTCTAAATATTTGGCAAAAGCTCCTATCTCTAATTTTCTGTTGACTTACCCTTGAGTTCATATCAGACAATTTACTTGTAGCAGTCATATTTTCCCGTGATGATATTTTTTCCCTTTGTTTTTGCAGGAACACCATATACTCAGCAGTCCTATAAAGTTAGTGAATCATTTCCTTTCAAATGGATCAATAAAAAGTGGAAGGAAGGCTTTCACGTCACTTCTATGACTACTGCTGGAAGCCGCTGGGGGGTGGTTATGTCCAGGAATGCTGGCTATTCTGATCAGGTAACTTTATGACAATTTGTTAAATTGGACAGCTTGTGACAAAATTTAAGCAGTTAAGTTTGTGAATGTTTTATGTCTTATGCAACTCATAAATTCGTTCTTATGATTCCTTGATCCTTTAGTTCTTTTGTGTATATTCTGCAGATAAATTGTTCTTTTTGGGAAACAAATGCCACCAGATTTTAGGAAAAAAAAATAATACTTAAGCATTTTTTAATTGTTATCTGAAGCATCCCATTTGTTCAAAATTTCAAATGCTATATAGTTCCAGTGTATGAAATTGCTTGTTATCATGGCTTTGTTTTACATTGTAATATATTATTAATGAGGACCAACTATTAAAGACAAAAGTATATATTGGCCAAACTGTTTCTGTGTAATATTACGAAGCTGGTAACTAAAATTTCATGATCCAGAAATATATTTCTCTCTCCATGTGTTCTCCACCTACAATTTTCAAAATAAGATATATCACGGTGAAAGTTAGTTCTGATTCGCAGTTGCTTCTGATGTAAATCTAATTAATCATTAGGGATCAATCTATGAACAAGATTTTCTGTAATTTGTAACTGAAACATCTATATTATTACCATCAAAATTGTCTTATTGTTTGTTTTTCTGGGTTGGTTCAAAATATTTTAAACTCATCCTGCAAGTTCCTCATAAATTTGACCTGCTTATGAATATCTAAATAATATTAAGCCACATAAATGTTTTTTTAATTGCATGCACTATTTTCTGCCAGATATCTAAACACCTATATGGCTGACCCGCTATAATTTGAGCAGGTTGTAGAATTAGATTTCCTTTACCCAAGTGAAGGAATTCATCGGCGATGGGAAAGTGGTTACAGGATAACTGCTACTGCAGCAACTCCGGACCAAGCTGCTTTTATACTAAGCATACCAAAAAGAAAACTGTCAGATGAGACCCAGGAGACTCTCCGGACATCTGCTTTTCCTAGTAACCATGTAAAGGTATGTCTTATTTATTTGATGGTTTTTTTCAACTGCAAAGTAAGTTTTTGTTGCTTTGGAAACTTTAGTACCCAATTATCTTGTCTGTGGTAGAAGCAAACCCTTGCAAAGTTATACCTGTCAGAGTAATTAAGAAAACTTCCATTAACTTTTGCTTTTGGGATTTTGCATTCATGTAGATATCTTAATTACCGAATTTCCTCGTACTACTTTTATTTGCAACTATTGGTGGAAACGACTAAAGATCTCTGGGCATTATGTATTTATGATCATGCTTGCTTCTGTTTTTCCAGTAGAAAAAAGACCATTTGCTCATAGTGATTGCTTAGTATTAACTATTATTTGCAACCATACCAGATCTGTCTTTGCACCGATTTTGTTTTCCATAGAGTTGAATATAAGATTAAAGTGGAGAAATATAAATAGAACTTTTGCAGCTTAATCAATTGACAACTTCTCCCGACGTCTTTCACTACAAATAATATAGGGTTAATTGGACATAGACCCCTGTAGGATTGCATTCTGCCACTTATTAACCCTTAAGTTTGATACAGACAGATGCATCCCTGAGTGAAAATGTTACGACTCTTTTTCCCTTAGGGGATGCCTGTTTTTTTTTAAAACAGGAAATAGAGATATCAAGTTATACATAGAAATCTGTACAATATGTTTCCTTTGATGACCAGCTTCAAAAGGGAACCCTTTCTCTCAATTGAATGGGCTCTCATGGATCACACATCCTACTTCCGGGTTCCTTCGGTGCTTTTGCCTTTGGCACACCTATTGAGTACAGTACCCGAACCCGTTCTTTCGATATCCAGTTCCACCAGCGGCAAAGACAGTGGGATAGGTACCCCCAGCAGTTGCTTCAGCTGCTTACTTTGAACCAATTTGAATTGCACTACCAGTATAGGTATGTACTAAGGCAGATCAAATTGGATTTAACTGGATCGGCCAGCTTATGAGTAAGCATCTGTAGTTTCAGTTGATGAGCCTGAGGCGAAGAACAAGTCATCCAAGGCCTTACTGATCCATAACTATAAGATTTTGAGCTGTTGGTAATGACTCTGTCGCTAGTGATAGTGCAGCTTTCACCCCTGCAAAGAGGTAAACAGGAGGACCGGGGGGATTGAACATGAGAGCACCAAGATCTTATACCAATGTAAACACTACAATTGATTTTGCTTGCAACCATTCAACATACTTGCAAAAAATCAACCACGTTAGAGTGTCTGATTGGCAAATTCACTTCAAATTTGATAAATGTATTGCTTGTGAAATATCTCTTCATGCACGACCCATGGATCTATGACTATCGATTGATGATCTGAAAATGATATTTATGAGATACCCTAAGCCAAATCAAGCACAACACCAGACTTATAATACGACATAAAAGGATTTTGTTACTAAAGTGCATCGGCTTCCTCTAACCTTCCTCAAACATGATGAAATTCTCCCTTCGTCTTCCTTCTTTGTGATGACTTTTTACTGCTTTAATTTTCACTGCATATGTTTCCAAATCTCTTAAAAGATGTGATGCTTATTGTAAAATCTTTGTTTTTCATATCAAGATGAATCAATATTTTGTTTCTGCCGTTTCTGCTCTCTCCCTTTTTCCCCTTAATGTAAGAACTCACCATCATGGTTGTCTGAATTTAGACATATATTATAATTTGGTCGTAAATCATAATACCCAATTGACAAAAAATAAATCTCTTTTGCAGGAAAAATGGGCAAAGAATCTCTATATTGCATCGATTTGCTATGGTCGGACTGTCTGTTGATCACAGGCTCGATGCATCTGATTTTGGAGCTGAAGACACCACCAGTTTTGAAATATGCAAGTGCTCATGCTTGGATTTGCAGTGGTGTCACGAGGGCAGAGGCTTATTTCGCTCAGGCTTGTGAACAGCATTGGGGGGTGAGGGGGTTGATTAACTGCTCTTTATATGAATCTGATAGGCAGGAAAAATATGCTTTCTCTTCATTGTTGTAAAAATACTGCAGAAGTTTGGGTTGTGAACATGACTTAGTAGCATTATGGAAAAGAGTGAACAAGTTGGAGACTGATATTCATCAAAATCACAGCTCACAAGCTTTCAGTAAGATTTTGTATCAGTTCCATCTTGTATTGGCCTTAGCAAATAATCTTGTTAAGTCATGGTTAATATATGTTCGCACTTTTATTACTTAGATTGACTCTGAATGTAAGACTGCATGCAAGTTTCAGTCCCAATATTAGATCACGTTTGAGGTCGAGGGAAGGGATCAAGAAATCCCTGAGGATGCTACAGAGATTCACAAATTCAAGCCAAATTAGGGCTACGTGAAGCTGTGTTTATCGGTTTGAATTATATTTTGTGTTATATTGTAATCCAGTAGTAATTTCCATTCTAATCAAATGAGTGTAGTCTAATAGAACTTAATCTGTATCGGGGAGCGGATTTGAATTGGCTAAATATCAGAAAGCCCCCTCAGCTTTGGATGTTTATCAGATAACGGACCGAAATATGAAGAAAAATACCTCCTTCGGTTAGGAGTTATAAAAAAAAAAGGCGCCCCTTAACTTTAAGATTCCATTAGACAGCTTGACAGTGTAACAAGAATTTTTACTGGTAAAAATATATCTCTACATAGTTTTCGCTGGCAAAAACCAGTTACAAAGATCAGGAGATTCCTGGATGTGGAAAAGATTCCTGGATGTGGAAACAATTACTGAGAGTTAGACTTAGAGACCAAACAATTACTTATTTTGAAAGCACCCATTATCTTTAAGATTCCATTAGACAGCCTGACAGTGTAACAAGAATTTTTACTGGTAAAACACGTCTCTACGTAGTTTTCGCTGACAAAAACCAGTTACAAAGATCAGGAGATTCCTGGATGTGGAAACAATTACCGAGAGTTAGAGACCAAACAATTACTCATTTTGAAAGCGCCCCTTAACTTTAAGATTCCATTAGACAGCCTGACAGTGTAACAATAATTTTTACTGGTAAAAATACATCTCTACGTAGTTTTCGCTGGCAAAAACCAGTTACAAAGAACAAGAGATTCCTGGATGTGGAAACAATTAATGAGAGTTAGAGACCAAACAATTGCTCATTTTGAAAGCGTCCCTTAACTTTAAGATTCCATTAGACAGCCTGACAGTGTAACAATAATTTTTACTGGTAAAAATACATCTCTACACAGTTTTCGCTGGTAAAAACCAGTTGCAAAGATCAGGAGATTCCTGGATGTGGAAACAATTACCTAGAGTTAGAGACCAAACAATTACTCATTTAGAAAGTGTCCATAAATCTCATATCTTCTATCCAAGCTTGCTGTTCAGGTGACAAAGTTAAAATTTCTGCTATTTACTATGCTTTATGCCCTGTTTTTCTCCTGTCAATTGGTATTCAACGGTGTGAGGGGAGGTTTTAACTACTGTAAACGCTCTCTTATTTTGTGGCCTGCTCTTCATTCCAAGTTGCTCGCGCAAGACAGAGTGTACCACGTGAGTATCCTGGATGCTAAGCAATGTGCGCTGTGTAGTCCTGTTCATGAAGAGAGCCACCAACGCTTCAACTTTTGATTATTCTTATTCTATGGAGTTGTGGAAT